TGGAGAGTTTGACACGCTCCACTAACTATAACTTTAGTGTAGCAAAGATACTTGGCCTGCGTAGAGTCTAGCTGGAATAGTGGTGGGTTTTAATTATCGTAGCCATCTTGGTTCCCTTCCCGTTCATGGCTAAGCCCGTTGATTTGGATGTTGTTGTTACAGTTCGCGTGTTGCTCGGCCGGCTTGTAAGTATAACTTAGACTTTGGTACATTCCACACCTACGAATACTTCTATTACTACAAGTACATGTTACAATAATTACTAGTAATTAAGTACTACTACTAGTAGTAGCAGGAGTAAGATAATATAGAGGAGTATGACTGTCCAAAACATGTGAAATTCAACATTTGCTTGCCTAATTTTACCGATGATTATATAACGTGCCAACTCGATAAAAATTACATCTAATGAGCGTTGGGACATCCGTCTCTAACTAAAACTTTTACTTTGTTTAAATACCTCTTGCCTTTACGGAGATATAAGCTTTGAACGTCACACATGGTTCATAGTGTTTAACTAAGCTTGCGCGGCTCAGATTGCCCAGACTTCTGAACTAGCTTCCGAACAGTGGCTAGCCTGTGAGGAATGGTCTTGTCTGTTGACAAGAATGCCACCTGTTGGCGCAGGAGTAAAGATAATATACACTCTATATTATATTCTATATTATATCATACACACTATATATATTATCCTATATATATAATATATACACGTATATATATACACACATATATACACACTATATATATACACACATATACTATATTATCTTATATTATATAATGTCATATATTATCTTACTCCTGCCGCCATAGAAATAGATAGATAACCTAGGTTAGATAGTTGTTAGATAGGTTAGATAGGTACCTAGGATAGATAGGTTATCTATCTATTTCTATGCCTGCCGCCAACAGGTGGCATTCTTGTCAACAGACAAGACCATTCCTCACAGGCTAGCCACTGTTCGGCAAGCTATTCGGAAGTCTGGGCAATCTGAGCCGCCAGCTTAGTTAACACTATGAACCATGTGTGACGTTTCAAAGCTATATCTCCGTAAAGCAAGGGTATTTAAACAAAGTAAAGTTTTAGTTAGAGACGGATGTCCAACGCTCATTTAGATGTAATTTTTATCGAGTTCGCACGTAATATATCATCGGTAAAATTAGGCAGCAATGTTGAATTTCACATGTTTTGGACAGTCATACTCCTCTATATTATCTTACTCCTGGTAGTAGTACTACTAAGTTACCAGCACTACTAGTACTATAGTATAGTTACTACCAGGACGGCAGGAGCTAATAGTAATAGTATTACTAATTACTAGTACTAGTACTACTAGTACTAGTACTACTACTACTACTAGCTCCAAGAAACGCTCTTGCGCTGGCGTTAGAATACCCCTATACTAGACACAGCGCACTTGAAGCGTTTCAATAAAATATAATGCTACTAATTACGAATCTATTTACACAAATCTATTAATGTTTCTAGTATAAGGCGGACTACTCTCTTTCGAGAGAGTGTGCGAGGGTGCAAGGCTACTATAGACTGGGACTCGCTCTCCACTCGATTAGCCATCGAGTGACTAAGCTTAAGCCGAGAGTGGGAGCGAGTGCCAGTCTATGGGCTATAGGCGGCGGGCAGGCCGGCGCAACTGCTTTGCAACTCCTGTACGAGCTCGCGATGGATACGTTGGCAAAAAACGTTACAGCGTTCGGGCGCGGCAAAACAATGGGTCACGAAGAGCGTCGGTAGGTGTTTCTCATTCTGACAGCATTTCGTTACTGGGCAAGGTTCGCGAATGTCAGAATTTCTACAGTCTTTCTGTGATTTTGCGTGACACAGCTTGGTTACGAACACATTACTCGGTTACAGTTTTTATTAACAAGTGAACACTGTTCACGTTCCAATGTCTGCCCTCTGTGTCCCCCACTAAAATTGCGGACTGTTCGCTGGCAGCTATGGATTCGTGCGCGGCCTATGCATTTCGCGCACGGATCCATAGCTGCCAGCGCTGCATACTGTCGTAGGAATTTCTCGCCGGTCGCGTGCGCTGCGCCGGCGAACTGCGCGCAAGATCGCGCAGCACTTCGGATAAACACCTCCTTTCGCGCGCAAGTTCTTCTCTAGTATCCCGTTCATCTGGATTAAGGAGGCCATCTGGATCTGCAAGACCCGAACGATCAACGCTGTTTACGAGGGGGATACAAACTCAGTCAGTGTGGACCAAGCTGTTTACCACTACACCATCTGTTGGTCAAAACTGATAACTTCAGTCAGCTTTGAGAAAGCGTCCTGATAGGAGGCGAAATGTCAGCAGTAAGTTTTGGATCAACACGGTTGAGTAAAAATGAACCAAGATAGATCTAGAATCTTTTATATCCAGTTTTTATTTGCTGAGGCCTGCAGTGCATATACATAGCCAAAAGCTGAATATTTCGGAAACAGTTTACATGGAATAAAGCACAGGGCAGAAGAGATAGGAATTTAGTTGTTCTTTATTTGAGGCACAAAAAGTAATCTATTACACACAGTCATTTTTAAATATGATTGTCGGTTTTGTTTGAACAGTAAACAATTAAGCTCAATTTAACAGAAAATAGTTCTGTAAGCCACACACATAAACATAATCATCATTTTTAGCTCATCTGACATAGTCAGATGCAGCTTGTAGAATCGCTTGATCGTCCGTGCGTCCGTCCGTGCGTCCGTCCGTGCGTCCGTCGGGCGTCAACAGTTGGGACAAATCTTAACGCGCTCGACGTACGGTCACGATATTCGGTGTGGGGTAATCCGAAAACGAGTTGGATGTCGAAGCTGGGGGTCAAAGGTCAAGGTCAAGAGGTGTAAAGAAGGGGAACATTCACTCCTTAATTAAGGTATAGGAGGGGAAATGCAGAATGCGGCACAAATCTAAACGGCTCGGCCTAGGCTCGTGATAGTCGGTGTATAGCATCATGGTAGGAAAAGCCATCACTGTGCCGAAATTGGGAGGTTACAGCAGGTCAGAAGTCAGTGGGCACAGGGCAGATTTAGGATTTTCTGAGGACTGGTCTGACGGAGCGATTGAAAAACTTTTTTGTTCAGCGGCGACCTAGCATTTTATGGCTTTATTGAAAGGACCATGAAATGTCCCTTCTGCTGACATGCGAAGAGTAAGTGTCGGATACCTTTTGACCGTCAAGAGGAGGGTTAAACTTGGATTTTGTTGACTGTCTGTTAGAAAGAATTTGACTGCCGGGTTGCTAGTAGAATGTATTCGCCTGGATGTATGAGGCTACAATGTGACAGTGAAATTTTCAAGCTAAATTTGGTTAAAGAAGGTGTATGTTCCTTAAATCGTATAATTTCTATGTCATTCTGTCTGTCAGTATGTTACATGTAACGTATGGCCTGGTGCTGCCAGTTTTTGCTGCGTTAATTGGTTGCAGGTGCAGCTCTCTATTGCAATTTGCAGCCTGTTGGCTTTGCGTAGGTAAATGGATGAGTGCTTACCTATTCTGTCTTGCAAATAGTTGTTGCTACTTACGAATGTATGGTAGCTTCATCTTTAATCTGAGACACTTAAACGTACGCCGCATCTCGTGGCAACTTTCATAAGCGATCCAACGAACATTCTTTTGAGAATGGTTCCTGATACCATCCCTGTGCATTCCACTGTTCGGCGTGTATGTGAACACATTTGGGACTACAGGGATTTATAGAATCCCTCCACTCCACCACAGAGCCACCGCAGTAGACGTTAGATGAGCGCTGTCGCTATGCGGCACTTGTTATGAACGCTGTGCATGGTTGTTATTGTAGACTGTGGGCATTATAGTTTGTTTATGTAGTCTGTGCCATATGCAGAAATATGTAAGTGCGTTAATATGTGCCTAAAAATATTAGCTAATGCATTATATGCGTGCGTGAATGTCTAGAATAAAGTCTAAAATACCACAACTTTCGAATAGTGTTGTCCAAAAGTTACATTTTGTATTTATGATAATAATTAGCATATATATATCAATATCGATGTATACAAGGTATATATAGTTGATATCTATTGTCGGGAGTGAATATAATAGGTCTATTATTATTCACTCCTGCTATCGTCATTATCATAACTCAATAAACTAATCCTTTTAATTACGACAGATGTCGCCACATGCGCGCAAAGCTGAAAAATGAACTGAAAGCAGAGAATATCATTGCCGAATGTATTTACTGTACAGCCACACATCAAGTGTTTGCATGGCTATCAAGGGTTAGGCAGCTTTTGCTTATATAAAACCCTGAACTGTCCAATACCGGCCTAATTCGATTTTAAATGAGAGCACGTCCTTTGCCGCAATAACATGTTGGGGTAGGCTGTTCCAGCTGTCAATCACTCTCCGAGAGAAAAAAAATTCCCATAGTTCAAAACGACTGCGCTCTTTGTACAGTTTCATGCTGTGACCTCTGGTGGTGGACAGGATTGCGGGTGGAAAAAATGTCCTATGATCAATATTCTCCAAGCCTGTCATAATCTTGTAAGTCTCGATAAGATCAGCTCTCTCTCTACGCGTCTCTAGAGTAGTAAGATTAACCCTTAGAAGCCTTTGCTGGTATGACAAGCAACCCAGCCCTTCCACTAGTTTAGTCGCTCGTCTCTGAACTTTTTCAAAGAGCTCTATGTCCTTTATCAAATATGGTCTCCAAGCTTGTATAGCATATTCAAGGTGTGGGCAGACCAAGGACATGTATAAGGGAACGATGGTGAGCCTCGACCTGTCGGTAAAACACCTTCTGATGACTCCTAGCACCTTGTTTGCCTTTTTTGCTGCTTCTGCACACTGTCTAGATGGTTTTAGTGAGGCATTAACTATAACCCCTAAGTCCTTCTCCTCAGTCACATTGGCTAATGGCACATTGTTCATATGATATGTGATCTCGGGGTTTCCATGACCCATGTGAATGCATTTGCACTTGTCCAAGTTGAACAGCATCTGCCAGTCCTCTGACCACTTAAACATCTTGTTCAGATCGCCTTGTAGCTTGTGGACTTAGCACTGACACTTCCAAATAGCTTGGTGTCATCCGCAAACTTGGAGAGACTACTCGTCACTGTATCGTCAATATCGTCAATGTACACTAAGAAAAGGACAGGGCTAAGCACAGACCCTTGAGGCACACCACGTCACTGGTCTCCAGTCCGATTGTTGACCATTCACAACTACTCTCTGCCTTCGTTCCCTTAGCCACTCCTCAATCCAACTGACTACGGTTCCTTCTATTCCAAACGCCCTTAGTTTCCGAATCAGTCTCTTGTGTGGTACCTTATCGAAGGCCTTTTGAAAGTCCAAATATATGACATCAACAGGATTTCCTTCGTCTACGTGCTTGGTGACACTTTCCAGAAATTCCAGAACATTAGTCAGACACGACCGCCCTGAGCGGAATCCATGTTATGTGTTGTTCATGAGCTGATGTTGTTCAATATGGCTCACAATATGGTCCCGTAAACATGCTTCCATGATCTTGCAAGCCACGGACGTCAGGCTAACTGGTCTGTAGTTGCACGGTCGATCTCTGGGACCTTTCTTAAAGATGGGCGTAACGTTGGCGTCTTTCCAATCCTCCGGGATGTAGCTGTTGACCAGGCTGTGTTGGAAAATCATATGCAACGGTTCACATATAGTATCTGCAGCCTCCTTTAAAACTCTAGGTGGAATCTTGTCCCCTCCAGGTGCTTTGTCAGGCTTTAGATTTAAACACTTGGTCTTTACAGCTTCCTGACTGATGATGACATGGTCTAGCACAGTATTCTCTCCTTGTGGGGTCTTTCGTATGGGCACAGGGATGTTCAACGTATTCTCGACAGTAAACACAGATACAAAATAGTCATTTAATTTCATTGCCATGTGTTTGTTATCTGTTATCACAGTACCAGAATCGTCAGTTAGTGGCCCGATACTGTCCTTGGTAGATGTCCTCCCTCTCACATATTTCCAAAAACTCTTGGGGTCACTTTTAATGTTGCTTGCCACTTTATACTCAAAATTGCGTTTATACCCCATTCACACCAGGGCCCCGATCTCACTACGCTCGTACTACGCTCTAAGAACGTGGTCGAAACGTGTAGAACGCAGTATGAACGTATACGGACGCGTGGCGGAAATACAGCGCAGTGCGGGCGTATTAGAGACGTGGAAGGCGTAGTACCCACGTAACTCGAGCGCAGTACGAACTTAATGGTCGTATCGCAAGCATGTCGGGTGCGTGAAAATTGTCGCCCCGTTCTCAGCACGATGTCAATACGTTTTCATCACGCTGTTACTATGTCCATGGAGATTTCTCTGCGACCTGACCACGCTCTCGCTATGACTATGGTGCGTCTCTAGCAAGCTCGACCCGTTCGTACTACGATTTTACTACGCCCAACACGCTCAGACCACGCCGTTGTGGCGTTCGCATTACGTGTTAGTTACGCTCAGATCACGTCCTGCAAACTTGGGGTATAATTTGGGGTGCTACCCTGGCCATCCCACCAGTTCAGTGTCCACTATGGATGAGGCAACACTACTCCATGCCATGTCTCTCGTAGAAGGACAAATCGAATTACTTGATTGCCAAGCCCTCATCACGCTGAGGAAGGCGAGGAGGAGAAATAGAAGACAACGAAGATCTTGCTGGGTTGAGTCCGTGGCTTTCGGTCGAAAGACGACTTCTCTATGGTCACTATGATCACCTCATGGCTGAGCTCCTCATGGAAGATCAAGCATTCTTCTTCAACTTCCTGAGGATGCCACCGGAAATGTTCGAGGAACTGCTTGTCAGAATTGGGCCGAGAATCCAGAAGCAAGACACCCGATACAAAAAAGCACTTGAACCAGGATTGAAACTGTAGCAGGGTAGAATCAATAGCCATGTATATCTATGTATAACTGTGTGTATCTGTGTTGCAGGGTAGAATCAATAGCCATGTGTATCTATGTATATCTGTGTGTATCTGTGTAGCAGGGTAGAGTCGATAGCTGTGTGGTGTCTTCCCATTTCGCCATTTTCCAACTTCGCCATTTCCCATTTCGCCAATTTCCCATTTCGCCATTTTCCCACTTCGCCATTTTCCCATTTCGCCATTTTCCCATTTCGACATTTTCCCACTTCGCCAGTTTCCCATTTCGCCAATATTTTATGTTGCTTCCACCCCCTGCACGAAATTGATCCTTCCATTCTTCAAAAAGAGTCATTTCTAGGGTTAGGGTTAGGGTTAGGGTGCCTGTACATGATCCATATGTTTTGATATTTACGATTTCACCTTCTTGTTCTTCAAATAAATAGTTGACTCCATATCTAAAGATTCGTTTTAATTTATTCATTACAGAGGCCTACTTTTAACCCACCTCGAACAAGGGGGTGGTCGGGGAGATAGGACGAAATGGCGGAATGGGAAACTGGCGAAATGGGAAAATGGCAAAGTGGGAAATGGCGAAACGGGAAATGGCGAAATGGCAAATGGCGAAGTGGGAATTTTTAATGGCGAAATGGCAAATGGCGAAGTGGGAATTTTTAATGGCGAAATGGCAAATGGCGAAATGGGAATAAACCAGCTGTGTATCTACGTGTATCTAGGCGATAGCTGCACTTAGCGGATAATTGAGTTAAAGACAAGTAGCGCTAGAAACCGATCGGTGTGTATCTGTATGTGTGTCTATATCTACACTATATCTGTGTATGGCCGGCGTTCCATAATTAGGTTACCTCCACGAGTGCTATGGCCGGCACGCTGTAATTGGGCTATAGTGGCGAGCGCCTCTAGCTCGGTGCGCTGTAATTGGATTACAGCTATGAGCGCCGCACTTAGCCGCAGTGACGTGTCACTGCTACGGCCGCGGGTCGCGCAAGTACGCCGTGATGCTGCCGTGTCGGCATGCTGCTATCGAGCCGGCATTCCGACACGGTGGAAGCCATCGAATAGGCGGGTACGTGTCGTGGCCCCCAGCGGGAGCCGGGCGAGAAGGCACTTAGGAGGCACTTAGAAGGGACGTAGAAGGCACTTAGGAAGGCACTTAGCCAATTAGCCGGCGCCTTTCAACTATGGCGCCGGTGCCCCTTAACAATGGTGAATCCTCGGAGGAGTCTGGTAATGCAGTTAGCGGGTGTCTTTGAGGTCCGAGAGGATCCTCGAAGGGTCCTGGTAATGGGATTAGCGGACGCCTTTGAAGTGGCAGAGAATCCTCCGAGGAGGTCAATAGTATGATTAACTCGAGCCCAAGAGCTCGGGAATGTGAACGGCGCATGCGTGGCGCATGCGTGGTTCGCGGTCGTGCCCGCGTATATAAGGCGGAGCACAAGTAAAATCGGGGAATTCGCTCCCCAACCAGGCGCAGACGGGCACGACCGCAACCACAGCTCTGTATTTGTCGAACTAACATTAAACTTCTAACCATGGTATAACTGGCTTTCTCTTCTTTATGGCTTTGGCTTAACACTGTAACATACACAACCATTCTATTTGTACGCTGTTAAATACGGCGCTACAAAACTGGCAGTCACCATAAGGCATCTAGCATCGGGTGATAAATATCCCTCACTTCAGTATGACTTCAGAGTGGCCATCAACACCATATCGCTGTTGGTTCCAGAGGTGTGCCAGGCTATTGTAGAAGAACACAAAGAGGAGGTCATTTCGTGTCCTACAATGCCAGAAGAATGGCATGCCATTGATGAAGATTTCCTGAAAAAATGGAATGTGCCCCATGCCTGCGGTGCCATCGACGGAAAACATGTGGCCATCAGATGCCCACGGAACTCTGGCTCATTGTATCATACCTATAAGGGCTTCTTTTCCGTGGTGCTTATGGCTTTGGTGGATGCCGACTACAAGTTTGTGTGGATAGACGTGGGTGGATACGGGTCACAGTCAGACGCTCAAATCTACAACGAATCGGAATTGAAAGACTGTCTAGAAGATGGATCCATTGGCTTTCCTGATCCAGATCCACTGCCGAACGATGACAGGAACATGCCATACTTTTTCCTGGGAGACGATGCTTTTGGACTGAGAACATATCTTATGAAGCCATACTCACACCGCGGCAAGACAAGGGAAGAGATGATCACTAACTACAGGATCTCCAGAGGCAGACGCGTGGTCGAAAATGCATTCGGCATACTGGCCCAGAGATGGCAGCTTCTACTCACAACCATGCAGCAAGCTCCCAAACAGTGAGCCTCATCATCGAGGCTTGCGTCTGCCTTCAAAACCTCATGAGAATACGCTACCCAGGCCTCCAGAATGCACAGCTTTACAATGAAGACGAGCAACATTACATGGTGCCAGGACTCTGGAGAGAAATAGCAAATATGCACGATGTCAATCAAGTGACCGGCCCGAACCGTGACAGCGTGGCCGCAAAGAAGCAGAGAGAGTACCTGAAACTGTACTTCAATAGTCCGACAAGATCTGTGCCATGGCAGGACCGTATGATAATGTGAAGATGGATGGACTACGTTGAAGGATGGATTTTATGATACATGATGAAGACGGATTATTGACTGTAGAGACTAAAAGTAATTGTCTAATAAAGAAATGTAAAATGTATCTTTTAAATAAATCCAGCAAGACACGATTATTGTAAATCCAAGTCCAATAAAGTTATGTTATATTTATGTTAATAAGGTGTAAAATAAAGATATGTCATACATATATTTGAAATATATCAAAATACATGTGTGTAATAAAAATGAAATAACTATTGAAAGATAAAAATGTGTTGCACTCATATGATTGGTAACACATTTTTAATTTGAATATTTATTTAAGTTCACTTTTATTACTTGCAAATCTCAGATTTATTTATACTAAGCATTAAACAAAACATCTGGTTGAAACCCTGATTTATTCAAACTTTCACAAACGGCAACATTAATAATTAGAGTGTATTAATAATAAACAAAAACATAAACATAAACATAAATATAACACAACATAACATAATATAATAAAACATAACATAACACAAACAAATCAAAAACAACATCTGTATTGAACACATTCTAAGTACAAAGTAATAACCAAATCAGTTTACCAAAACAACTTCACACAGTATCACACAGTCACTGATCATCAGACGGATCCTTGGGCTGGTCCTGCGTCTGCGTGTGGTCATAATCCTGAGAGTCCCGTTCTAATTGGCGAAGAAACGAGGAAATGTTCGCGCCTGAGTTGCCAGAGGTATCCTGTCGTATTGCAGAGAGGTCGATAGTCGATGGGGTGCTTGCAGCCATTCCTTCGCATCTGTATCCAGTGGGCGCAGCATATGCAGATGCCGTGCTCACGGTATGAAGTTGAGTGAGTGTGTGTGTCGCTGGAGGCAGAAACTGTGGAGCTGTTTGCGACTGCGGCTGAGCGAAGTATTGCGACTGAGGCTGAGTGAAGAGTTGCGACGGATGCTTGGTGAACTGTTGGCGCTGTTGCTGAGGATACGGTTGAGCCATCCGGTAAAACATTGGGAATGGGGTGCGTAGGCCACTGGTGTGGTGGGGGCTGCCACCGGTAGGAGGGTGAGGAGACTGACTGGGAAGAAGGTGCAGCTGCTGTTGCAGTTGGTGTTGCTGCCGGTGTCGTGGTTGGCTTAGTCTTCAGCTCATCATTCTCGTCCAGGTGCCGGTATAGGACGGAGGTCAGCTCTCGCTGGCACCGCCTCCATAGACCGTGATCTAGTTTGTGGATCACCGAACCCATCCAGTCCACGAATGTTTCGCGTTCACGGTCCTTGCCACGTTGCCACTCCATGTACTCCGCATGCATGGCCATTATCGTGCTGGTCCTTTCCTGCATCCAAGCGAGGAGGGCCTCTTCCATCTCCAGGAATCGTTTGGACTGGGTCGACTTGAGGCTTGGAGTGGACATGCGGCTGGGACCCCGCTGTTGCTCTCCAGATGCTTTGCTGCTTCCTGGTGTTTGTTGAGACGGCTCAATGGGTGTGTCGTCGATGTCATCGTCACCGATGTCCTCGTCTTCTTGTGCAGCTCCGATAGAGGTAGTAGTGACAGCAATCTTCTGTTTCATCTGCAACATACACAAGAACAAGAGGCAAGTGATTTGAACATCCTATATATGACTGCAGAGTTACTTCGCAGCAGGTACAATGGTAAAGTAGTTTTCATATTACAAGTTTCGAATTACCAATTACTTTATTTAATAAACACTTATTTAATAACTTTCTTTATTTAATTACTTTATTACATTACATTATTTTACATTACTTTATTTTATTACATGACTTTATTTTATTACATAACTTTATTTAATAAGCGTATTAATAACCCTAACCCTAACCGTAATAAACACAGTTACACTAAAAAAGTGGCTAAGACTACTTACGCTTACAGTTGTCTTGGGCTGAACCTCGTGTATGTAAGGCGCCAGGAACTGGAAATGGTTGTAGACCCACTCGTCCCTCTCTGTCATCTCCACATCTTCCTGGCCAGATTTCTTCTTGTTCAGACGTCCAAAGCGGGTGCGGAGGCTGCTGTACCAGAGCTTGAGCTCGGCTACATCTTTCCCCAGCTCGGCTGCCTTCTCTCTCCAGAGAAATTCTTTCTTCGTCATGTCTTTGTAGGCCTTCATCTTCTTGTTGTAGAAGACAGTGTTTTCTGTCAGCCAATCCACCATGCTCTGCTCCTCTTCCTCTGTCAGGAAACTGTAGAACTTATTCTTCCTGCCCTTTCTGACTACACTGGTCTTGCTGGTGACACTCGCAGCGTCGGTGTCTACGTCACTCTCATGGGCCTGCCTGGCTGGAGGCAGGGATTCTTGAGGCTGCTCAGGCTCTGATTCCAGGGCAACACTTGATGGAGATAACGGACTCCTGCACCTCTTTGGTTTCTTTGCTCGGCCTTTCCCCCTTCCACGGCCTCTCCCCTTGTCTTTTGGCGGCATAGTTGTGTCCGTAGAAAATAATCTTGATGTTAATCTTGATTTAAGTTGATAATGTTGATCTTAATTATCTTGATGTTAATCTTGACAGCACGGCAGAATGAATGATAATGTATAGAACACGGCGCGGTATTTATTGATCGTTGCCAGCGCAGTCGGTGCCTGACTAGAGCGTGATTGGCGCGCAGTTGAGGCGCGGTGAGCGTTGCCTAGGCGCAGTGCAAGCGTCGTTTGAACGCAATGCGATCTGATTGGTCGCAATAATGACGCAGTGAGCGCACTGCAAGCGTGATGCGGGCGTTGTGTTGAGCGTGGTGAAAGCTTGTTGAGCGCAATGAGATCGGGGTAAAGACGCACTTAGATCGTAGTATCGACGTAATTAGATCGTAGTATCGGCGCTGGGCCCGGCTGGGGCCCAATTGGCCACGCTCTCAACCACGCTCACCACGCTCGGGCAAATTTTTGGAGCGTGAGGCGATCGTGATGAGCGTAGCTCTGGTGTGAATGGGCCCTTGGCAGCTTTAACCGCGCGGGTGGCTTGGTTTTGAGACTGTTTATACAGGTCATAGTCTCTGATTGAACCGGAAAGTTTATATCTCTTCCACTGTTTACTTTTCTGTCGGCATGCTTTCCTAACAGTTCTAGTAACCCATAGTGGTTTTGTCTTACTGCGACACACTCTCTTGGGGATGCTCGTCTCCATTGCCGAATGCAGTTTCCTGGTGAACAACCCCCAGCAGTCGTCCGCATCCTTGCCTAACTCAGACTTCCAGTCAATACCAAGGTCAGCTCTCAGTTTGTCATAATTCCCCTTATTTAAGTTGTAAACCTCCATGAGGTTGGTCGGAACGTCTACTTCGACAACCAGGTCCCATGTAACAATACTGTGGTCACTGTTGCTCAAATGTTCTCTTACTTGTAGGTTCTCTACTAGAGGCGGTTCTGTTGTCAACACCAGATCCAGTATACTGTCTCCTCTGGTAGGGTTATCAACATGCTGCGTCATAAAGCAGTCTTGAACTAAGTCAACGAATTCAGTGCTGCGTCTATTTCCGCTTAGAGTAGCCCAGTCTATTTCACTATGACACTAGTTAAAATCCGCCATAACACACATGGGCTTGCCCTCTGAGTATGCTCGCTTCAATAATTCTATAAATCTGGCATCATTGATGTCCGTCTCCATACTCCTGTACACTGATCCAACCAGTAAGCGAGATTTGGGGAGCACAAACTCTATCCATAAACTTTCCTCGTGTCCACTGTTTGTCAAGTCTGGCCGAGCGATTGTCTGATAACAGTCACGACAGTATATGATAACACCACCACCTCTACTACCTCTGTCTCGACGATATAGCGTGTAACCTGGGATTGTAAATACCTGGTCAGTTTCTTTGTCCGTGCCCCAGGTTTCGACAATACTGATAATGTCTGGTTTGTAGTCACTTGTTAGTGTCTCTAGTTCGCTCATCTTGTGAACCAAGCTTCTTGCATTAGCAAACAGACATTTAAAATATTTCGGAGCCGGTTGTGCAGGTGCAGTAAACTATGCGGGTAACTCAACATTTAACTCTGAAACAGTAACATTGTGAACAGGTGTGTTTAAAAGCTCCTTATGTACATGTTCAACTACTTTTTTGCCGGTCTAGGCACTATAGCCCCTTTGCTGACGATCACGTCCTGACCTAGCGATCTCCTATGTTTGAGCTCAGTTCTCAGTTCGTATTCTTTGCTCCTCTGATCCCTGGTGAGGTCTGCCCCTATAAACACATTTCTCAATTCCGGATCAGTATTACTTGCCAATAACTTGGCTTTCCTCAGGATTTCCCATTTTGTACTGATGTCAATCACTGTCGCCCTGATCATCCGGGGCTTCCCTTCCATAGCTGGTTGTTTACCTAGTCTCTCAACACATGTGATACCATTTGGGATATTTAGCTTGTCCTTAATCAACTCGGTGACTGCCTTAGTGTCATCTGGGGTCTCGGGCAAGTTCCTGATGATAATGTTCATCTTACGCTTGTCTTGTTGGATACTTTCTTGTACCATACCACGTATCTTACCATCCAAGTCCTTACTGATACTGGCAGATACTTGTTTACCAATACTTTCAGTGTGTTTACATATCACCGTCGCAACACAAATCTCCAAGTTTTGCTCTAGATTCGATACTTTCTGTGAGACCTGTCTGAGTTCCTTTGCCATGTCGTCCTGTTTCTGTTTCATTGAAGATACCATCCTCAGACACTTCACAGCACCACCATTACAGTTAGTACAAAACCAGTGGAAATTGTTGCTGTTGATTTTTTGCAAGAGTTCATAAGTTTCTAGTATCCTGGGCCATATCCTGGCATTCAACATGAAACCAACATTCACACAGTTCACATTGCAAAGCATTTTCACCGTCGGCCACTCTACAATTACACTTGCTGCACATGTCGTCGTTACTATCTTTAGTGCAAACATCTTTGGTGTCACTCTCGCTAACGCTGGTTAGTTGAACTTTACTTAAGGCTAAGACACACTGCAGCGACAGCGACCGACCGTAACGACAAACGACAAAGTCGCGGCGACTGGCGCAGCTACACTGCAGGTTCAACGACCGACCGTAACGACAAAGTTCACCCAGCACTCACCACAGCGCCAGTGCGTGCAATGGATTCAGGACGTCATGGGGGAAGCCTACGACTTTGCGAGAGCGACATTGAAGCAAGCGGCGAAACGACAGAAGCGGGCGTACGATAGAGGTGTTAGGCCGATTACCTTCCGGGAGGGAGAGTTCGCATGGTATTGGTACCCGCCGGCAGTTCGGAGGAAGTTAGGACATGGCTGGCAGGGGCCGTACTTAATCATCCAGAAGGTGAGTGACCTCCTCTATGTCATACAGCGGGAGCCACGGGCAAGAAGGAAGGTAGTGCACATCGACTACTTAAAGCCCTACAAAACGGAGCAACCACTGGAAGATTGGCGAGAACCTCCGAGAGAGGAGGAGAGGGAGCCCACAGACCACGGCGAGGAAGGCGATGATGAGGGGGAGGAAATTCCGTGGGGGATATTGTTTCAGGAACCGGCATTAGAGGATGAGGAAGTGACGGAACAGACCTATGAAGCAGATCTTGGTCTAAGGCGGGGGACAAGAGCCCGTAAACCACTACAGAGGATGGATTTGTAGGGAGGAGGCCATCATTTTATTTGTTTTGTTTTGTTTAGGTGGACAGGACGTCATCGACTCATCATTTAGGGATTTTTATTACAGGACATATTTATATCGTTTGTAAGATTTAATATAGTAGATATATTTATATATAACGGAAGTCTCATTTCGAGGATACGTTGGGGGAGACGAAGGCGTATCCGAGTGCGGATACTAAAAGTAGTTGGGGGGAGTTGTGGAGATCTCGGGGGTGTATCACGTACAGGAGTAGTAGACTAGATCGGGACCAATAGACTGAACTCACCGTATAGAGGGAATAACCATATATATTGACTAAAGAGAGGATAAGATAGATTGCACATAGATATAGACCGCATGTAAACATTGACGCCTGGGCGCGGCCATCGTTTAGTGCTGGTGCTGCCGCCTGTCGGGCGAGAACACCATATATAATGTCTTAGGCATGGATTACCTGGGATGGTGCAATAACCAGTGCCAGCAAGGCGTTGCACAACTGAGGGCCTAACCGGTGAGTCATGCACGGTACGGCCAGGCACAGCGATTGCGAAATCGGCGGACTGGCTGAGTATAAAAGGCGCTCAGAATCGCAGCTCAGGCAGATATAGGTACAGGTCCAGGAAGAAGAGGAAGAGGAGGAAGAAGAAGGAGAGGGAGCAGCCGAGGACGGAGAGAAAGAGAGAGTGTTTTAGGTACAGGTCCAGGAAGGAGGAAGAAGAAGAAGGAGAGGACGAAGACGAAGGAAAGGAAGGAGAGAGAAACAGTCGAACGGGAGGAGAAAGCGAGAGAGTTGTTTTTCAGGGATAGGTTGTGGGTAGGAAGGCGAGAGGAGGGAGGAAGGAACGCACAGGGTTTTCAGGTAGGAGTAAACCAGAGCCGAACGGGAGAGGGGAATAAAAGCGGGCAAAGAACGGCATTCTGGTGGAGCTGGGAGCGACGGCGAGGGAGACACCTGCGAGACTGTGTGGATCCACGCAAGGCGAGGACGAACGTGAGGGAAGAAGACGGAGCTGGCGACGTGTAGATATTAGACGAGATCAATAAAACTATTAAAAGGTCCGCTGCATATGCGAATGCAGGGGGAATCATTTGTACCTTCGTAACACGAAATAAAAGCTATATAGCCGTATCGTTAACTGCATTTCACCGTGTTCTGTTCATCTGGTACGACCTGTTATCTGCTACGTGCTCATCGCCGTCCTGGCCTTAATACATCGACAGGAGCGGACACTGATCCCACCACTGGACACGCGTTACTACCTAACGTCTGTCGAACCGTAGTCGTCTACCCTAGAGGCACTACACTATAGTTTATAGTACCGGTATGTACAATGTTATGTTGGACCACAATGGAAATAAGTGTGTTAGCCACGGTTTATTGTGTTTTCATCCTCGATAATTTTCTAACTGCATGTTGTTTTATTTATGCTGTTATCGATGTAATGTATGCTTTGTTAATTACCGAAATAAATAAATCAAAATAAATCAAAATACTTGGCGAGAAATTTTCGCCTATGCTTTAGACATTTCCAGCTTATTAAATAGTTATGTAAAGTAGTCAGTAATAATTTTACTTAGACTAGGAATGTTTTAGCTAATTAGGTTTAGTATAGTTAAGTTTATATAGGTTTAGTAGATAAGTTTTTTGACCACTTAGCTATAGACGAATCGTAGACTGAGCAATGCCGTTGATGTAGGCCCTATATATGTTTTGATAGAAAGTTAGAAACCGAGGTAAACAAAATCATGTTAGCGTGACATGTTTTTTAATTGTAAAGAAATGATATTTTGTAGTTAATTGTTTACGTTAAAACTTGTTTCGCCGACGCCAATCAATCGGGTTTATTTACAAACACTGAAACATGCAGGCCTACCCAGCTGGCATTTCAACGTTGTTTCAACGTTGAATTAACGTTGAACCTCAACGTTGAATTAATGTTGGATTACCTGTCGCATTTGAAAATATAATCAACGTTGATATACCGACGTTGATTCAACGTTGAGATATCAACGTTGGTTCAACGTTGAGACATCAACGTTGGTTCAACGTTGAAATAACGACGTTGTTTTAACGTTGAAATGCCGACGTTCTTTCACAGTTGAAATACCGACGTTGATTCACAGTTGAAATACCGACGTTGGTTCACCGTTGAAATACCGACGTTGATTCACAGTTGAAATACCGACGTTGTTTCACAGTTGAAATACCGACGTTGGTTCAACGTTGAAATACCGACGTTGTTTCACCGTTGAAATACCGACGTTGATTCACAGTTGAAATACCGATGTTGGTTCAACATTGAAATACCGACGTTGTTTCACCGTTGAAATCATGACGATGTTTCAACGTCGCATCACCGACCTCGTTTCACCGTTGAATTACCGACTTTTCAAGAATTACCGTATTTGCAAATCCAAAAGGTTACTCAACCTTATTCAACGTTGTTTCAATGTTGCATCCACTCGATCCTCATCACAGCACTCCTCATTGAATGTTGTATAAATCATATTATCACGTTATTACACAGAGAGAGCTAGAATTAGTGCACTACAGATCTATTAAACAGTAGATTGAATTGGCTGTTAGGATCTTGAAAGTGTAGAATACATGTATGATGACCGAGAAGGCCATGGCCGGACAGTTGAGGGGTGCAAATCCACTTTAGGCACTGGTCCTAATCCGCCTAGCTGTTCTCCCGAAGAAATCGAATAATTGAGTTTTAAGTTAATGAAAACCAGTTATGCAAGTACTCTAGCAGGTTTTTAGACACATGCATGTTCGAATGACATTTAAACATGTTTTTTATGTAAACATGCACATATCCGTATACATAGGTAGTGTACATATCGACATTAAAATACACTCATTTTACACTCATTTGGTACCAGAAAATAAATAATTATCCTCGTTTTACTCTTTTGTGGCACTCCTAACACTAACAATATCAAAATATCTCAGATTTGTTGGTTACAATTCACCCTATAACCCTCGTTCTAACACTGCGCTTAACCGCATGAAGCGAACATTAATTTCCATTGATTTCTGTGTTTTTGGGGGCTCATTTCAGGGAGTGATCTCTCAGCTTCTGGAGGGATGGGAATATTTCATTTGAAATTCGGTACCCGTATAAGGAAAAGGCTCTAAATCATTCATCTAAAATTTCAAGTCGATCCGTATCTCCGCTGCTCGTTATGGAGGTGTACAACAGTAAGCATCCGCAATTGTTCACCGGTGCACTATTTCGTCTCTAGAATTTAAAGGCCTTTTTTGGCTTTTTTTTCGCCGAAATTCGGCACTA